CTAGGGAATCTGATTCCAGAGAGGGCCAGCTTCATGGCCACCTGAGAAATACGCTTACTGGTGACACTAGTGTTACTTTGTATTGTTTTCTGTGAATCATTGTGACGCATTGGGGCTAGCAAATGGCATAGGTTATTTTTAATGTTTTTTGTATGCTATAAAAATGGAAAATCTATCATCAGTGACTTGAAAATCACAAAACTGCGTCAGAAAGAGCCAATATAAGTCAAATTTATTATTGCCAACATAGGTTCTTTTCTGTAATATGATATTCTGTATTAATGACATGAGCAGCTGTACTTCAAATCCCCACAGAGTCTTTGAATTTAGTTTTTGTAATTCAGGTAGCTTTCAGGTTTTTATGGGGAGGGGGGTTGTTCCTTGAGGAGGCATGGCATTTTTAATCAGTTCTCTAGGGAAAGCTTGATTAAATGCTCCAATTAAGTTTGTTGGTTCATTGTTGCTAATAAAATCTTATAATTGTAGAAAAAAGGTAACTTTCTTCTAGATATAGTTGTTGCCATTCTGTTTGGGAGTTTATATTGAAAGGAGTGCAAATAATTTGCTGAAACTGAAGAATTACTGTCATTTTATTTTTCTAGGAAATTAGGCATATATGGTGCTGCTATACCCATGTCTTGTAAGGGAATTTATAATTTTCACTTTTGCAGGAACAGGTTTGGCTGAAAACCATCATCCTCTTGGGCTCCTCCTTGGGCCCCCCCCCTGCCCCCACAGAACTGACCTTCGTCTGGGGCATCCTGACAGCGGGCCGGCGCCTGAGGGCTGCGGTGTGCCTAACGAACCTGGGCTGCCTCTTAAATTCACTTTTAATAGATTTTCAGATAATTCCTACTGATATATTAATAGTTTCAAGTTCCTTGAGTCTTTCAACTCCAATATGCTTGTTAAATGCATTCATTGAAGTTATTTTGTATTTTTAAGTTCCAGATACTGAATTTTAGAATTCTAGAACTTTCATTTGGTTCTCTCAGTTTCTTATTTTCTGGTGAACTTTCTCTATGCATTCATTTTCTTTTACACATTGAACATATTTATAGTAGCTGTTTTAAAATTTCTGTTCTTGCTAATTTTAATGCATTGCCTTTCTCTTTACTGTTTCTTCATGTTTATAGTAATTTTGGATCCCCTCCCCAGACACTGTAAATGATACTATGATTTTCCAAAGTGTATTGATTTTATTTTGTTTTTATCAAGGTGTTAGCTTAACAGAACTTATATTCCAAATTCTGTATCCCCTTTGATATGAAGCAGCTGAAATATCTGTTGTTATTTTTACCTTAGCTGGGCTGTTGAAGTCTGTCCTGAGCCATGCCTTGTTAAGCGGTTAAACAAAGATTTTTTTGGGAGAGATAGTTTGCATAATCTGGGGTTCCCCTTTTGTAGCTCCTTTACCCCGATATTTCTTCTTCTCACTTTCCAATTGCTATGGTTATCCCACACTGTCCTCTGATTCATCAGTCACACTGAGAACCCCCTAAGACAAAAGCCATAAAAATAGGAATCTTATCAGTGTCTCTGCCATTCTCTGAAGAGTCAACTCCTTTCTACTTTTTGTTTGACTTCAGTGGTTCTCCAGTGCCTTGGGTTGTTTTGCTTATATTTTGTCTAGAATTTATACCACAAACTCTTTTGTACCAAACAAACAGTGCTCATTAAGAAATAAATCCTCATTGTCCCTGGTAACCTCCATTTACTTATAAGTGGAATCCTATAATATTCTTTTTTGTCTGGTTTATGACCCTTAGCAAGATGTTTAAGGTTCATCCATGTTATAGAATGTATCAAACTTCATTCCTTTTTAAGGGTGAATAATATTCAATTTTAATTTCTACCATATCATATATCCATTCTTTCATCTGTTGATGAACAATTGGGTTCCATATAATGCTGTTACCAACATGGGTATACATACAACCATATGTTTGAGTTCCTGCTTTCATTTATTTTGGGTATTACCTATAAAGAAATTGCTGGGTCAATCATATGTTAATTCTTTAACACATTAAGTGTCAAGCCTGTTTTGTCTTCCTTTCTAATCCGATTTCACCGATATGCTGGCAGCACTGGTGACTGACATGGCACTTTACGTGTTAACTTTGAGGAACTGCCAAACTTGTGCTGCAGAGTGTCTATATACCACTTTATATTCCCACCAGCAATGTATAATGGTTTCAATTTCTTCAAAATCTCCAACACATTATTATTATAGGCATCATAGTGGGTATATGGTATCTCATTGTGATTTTGATTTGCATTTCCCTAACAATGTTGAGTATCTTTTTACTTGCATATCTTCTTTGAAGAAATTTTTATTCAAGTAATTTGCCCATTTAAAAATTGAGTTATTTGTCTTTTTGTTGAGTTGTAGGCGTTCTTTATATATTGTTGGTATATATAAAGAACTCCTTGTTAGATACATAGTTTGCAAATACTTTTTTCCCCATTCTGTAGTTTGTCTTTTCACTTTCTTAATAGTGTCCTCTAATACACAAAAGTTTTCCATTTTGAAGAATTCCAGTTTATTATTTGTTACTCATTGAGTGTCATATCTAAGAATCTAGTGCCTAACCCTGGGTGCTGAAGATTTACTTGTATTTTATGGCTTTTAGCTCTTATCATCCATTTTGTTTGTGGGGATCCAGCTTCACTCTTTGCATGTTGAGATTCAGTTTTCCTAGCAGTGTCTGTTGGAGTCTGAGTTTTACCTCATCAAGTTTAATTGACACCCTTGACGAAAATCTGTTAGTCTATATATATATCTCCTAAAGCCTGTACCTAAAGGCTTTGATTACTTACTGTAGCTATATATATCTATATATGTCTCTCCTAACGCACATGATGAACAGGCTTTGATTACTTACTGTAGTTTTGTGGTAAGTTTTGAAATTAGGAACTGTGAATACTTGAACTTTGTTCTTTTTCAAAATTGTTTTAACTATTTAAAGCTTCTCATTTCCATATGAATATTGGTTTTTCTATTTCTACAGAATAACTTCATAAAACCTGTTTTTTGGATTCTGTTTGCTTTGGAGATTCAGCCATGTTCATACATAGATATTTAGTCCTTTACTATAATGAAGTATCTGAGTAAACCTCAGTGTAATTGTCCTTTCTCCTATTGAAGTACAATTAGATAGTTTCCAATTTTTTACTTTAACAAGCAATGCCACAATAAATATTCTGTGCGTGCTACTTGTTTATACCTATGAAAGTTTCTTTGGGACAGTAGTTTTTAGCTGGGATCATTTGGCAATGTTTGGGGATATTTTGGATGATCAAGACTGAGGGGAAGGGTGCTACTGGCATCTAGTGGATAGAGACCAGAAATGCTGTTAGTAAGCATCCTGTAATACAAGAATTAACTTCCCTCTGTCCCCACTATAAAGCATTATCAAAATGGTCAGGAGTGCCAAAGTTGAAAAACACTGCTAAGGTGTTTGCAGTTTTTTGTTATTATATCAAATGGATTTCTAGAAAACATGAAGAAAATATTATTTCCAATACAAGTAAAGATTTAGAATGTAGCCAAAGAAATCCAAGAATGTATGCACCACTATTTTCACTGCAGCATTATTTACAATAGCCAAGATTTGGAAGCAGGCTAGTAACTGAGTGGGCAAAAAAGCCATGGTACATTTACACAATGGAATTCTATTCAGCCATAAAAAAGAACAAAATCTTATTTTTTGTGAGAGCATGGATGGATCTGGAGAACATTATGTTAAGTGAAATAAGCCAATTAGAGAAATACAAGTACCATGTGATTTTACTTATTTGTGGAATCGACTGAACAAAATAAACTCACAAAATGGAGACTAACTCATGGATACAGAGAACAGACTGACAGCTGTCAGAGGGGGTGGGTGAAAAGAGGGAAGGGATTAAGAAAAAAAAAAGACTCATGGACACAGACAACAGTATGGTGATCGCCAGAGGGAGGAAGTAGAAAAGGATAAAGGGGATAAATGGAGATAGAAGGAGACTAGATTTGGGATGGTGTGAAATCTATAAATATAAACAATTTCATGACTGGTGTGATTTCTCTTTTCCATGCTTGGATTTAGTATGCATTGCTGAAAAGTGGTTATTTCCTTCCATGTTCAAAGCCACGTGGTGATGAAATTAAAAATAATTACAATCTCCCTCTGCACCCCCAAAAGGAAATATCTAGAATTAATGTTTCTTTGGAATAAACTGGCAGTTATAAGCAATTTAATTCTCTTAAGCAACATAGGTAGCAAAGTTAACAAATTAATTCACTTCACATCATCTTTAACTTCATGAACTGAAATACAGTAATACTTCCAGCCTGATTGAAAAATTAATTGTAAAGTGAGAATCTGTTTCAAAGTGTCACTTGTGTATGATGATGATAGTTGGAATATTAGGCTGAAGATGGTGATTGAAAGAGAAAAATTATAGCATAAAAATAATATAGAATTTTTTTCCTGACAAAATGGTTGTTAAATATAGAAGACTTAAAGGTTTGCAAGAAAAAAAATTTTTTTTTTAAATCTCTAGTGTGATTTAAATTAGTTTTTAAATTGAAGACAGGGATCAACTTAAATTTTGAGATCCACTTTTGGATATATTAAGACCAATGGCTACCCTTTGAAAAATCTAATGAAAACTATGGCTTCAGGACAGTGCCATGCTTGTTTACATACAGTTTTTCACATAATTTTTGGGTGGCTCATACTCATTTCTGAAGCCCATCCACGGACCATTCTCACCCACCCTCAATTGCCCGCTATCCTGCAGTTTTCCAGGTTAAGAACTTCGCTAAAAGCTTATTCAGTCTCTTAAAATACTTGTAATTATTACTGAATAGTAAAGACACAGCATTGTTTGTATGTTTTTCATCAAGGTTAGAAGACTCAGGTAGTTGGAATTAAGTCTTCCAATGTTAAATGAATGAATACAGACCTTATTTTAATTTTATACCTATTGCCTTCATTTTTCTCTCTTTTTACTAGGCATATGCAGCAGTGCTATCACAACAAGCTAATGAAAACAGCCAAAATTCAACTGAAAAGGCATGTTTTGGAGCCGTCCTACCAGAAGAGAAACTTAATGACTTTCGTGATGAACAAATAGGACAGTTGCAGGAACTGATGCAAGAAGCCACTAAACCCAATAGGCAATTTAGTATTTCCGAATCAAACAAACCAAAATGTTAGTCTGTACAATAAAGCTTAACAAAGCATTTCAAGTTCAGGACCCCTTATTTTAATTGTCATTGGTTTTTAAAAATGTATCAAGTTTTTAGGTTTTGAGAGTGCTTGGTGTTAATGAAATATGTATTTTTTTGTTTGGGAATGTTTTTTGTTGTCTGCAGTGAATGGATCAGCTCATCAGTGGACAGAATTTTAGATTATTAAAGTAATTAGCAGCACTTGCTGGATGGGATTTGGTTTTTGAACTAAATAAGGAAGAACCGGTGGAAACTGGACAAACCTTTTGACAACTGTAGAACTGTCAAAAAATTTTGGATATATAAATTTGTTTTTAATGCTGTTCTTGTTCAATCATTAGCCTCCTGGTTTTGTAGTCAACAACAAGGGTTGTTTGCATTTTCTATTTGATCTCTAATTTATTCTCTTGTTAAAAGACCTGGTAGAAGAAATACTAGAGGACCTTTGTAATGTCAATTAGATTCATACGAAAGAAAGTATCGAAATAGAAGAGGCTGGTAAGTTCATCTAGTCTAACCACGTTTTTCAACCTTGTAGGATTTATTTGATCAAGAGATGCATCTTGACTCTCAAGACTAGTGAATTTGAGACACAATGGATTTATTCCAACTAATTTTGTGTTCTGCAAATCTCACACAGAGACAAACAGAAATGCTGGGCTCAATTGGCAATTATGGCTTAAATAAATGTATTGTTGTTAAATAAATTTAAGATTAACTTGTGCTATTTTAGCAAAGAAATAGAGTTCAACGATAGGTACCTGAAATAGTACACCCTTTTCAAGGGTTTCAAATCATCTCAGTGCAAAAACTGATGAGAGCTAAATGTTGAATAATAATTGCTAAGCAACTTTAAAAACAATTAACTATCTGCATAGTAATGACATATCTAGTGAATATTGTCACTCACATTAAATGACTGAAAGGAGAACCAAGCACCAGAGTTGAAGAATAGTAAAATTCTAAATTCAGAGCTCCCTAGGGAAGATGTGGGTGCAGTCCATGGGCTAGCAGAGCTGTTTGCTGTGTTGCCCAAGCTGGAGCTGGTCTATTTGCTGGGCCAGCAGAAACTGCCCTTGGGGGGTACACTGAGACTGGCAGGCAGGCTTGCAGAGGAAGTTGGGGTATTGGGGTTCCACTAGGCAGTCCTGCAGTTTGCAGCCTGGGGAAACAACTTGGGAAATGCAGGCAAGCTAGTGCTGGTGGCAAGCACACACGATTCAGGGCATCAGGGACGAAATTGTAGATGGTGAGACAGTGCCATGGGGTCTGGATGCTCAGTGTCCATGTCAGGAGAGCCATGCTAAGTGGTCATGAGTCTAGGATACAAGCTTGACAAGAGCCTGTACATCCTGGTGTGCTGCTGGAGGGAATCCCACTGGATCTCCTATCACACGTGCCACTGACAGCCAAGCAGCAGGAGCAAGAAATCCCTCTCTTGTAAAAACTCGCAATGACAAAGTAATAACTGGGCTCACCACAAAAGAGATTTAAGTCTCTGTTATCATACAGCTGGTAATGTGGGTTTCTTGGAGAGGAAAGGCAATAACTGATACCAGCATCTACAGCTAATAAAGAATGCTTACAATATGCCAGGCACTGGGATATTTATATGGATTCTCTCATATAAACCTTAACTTCCCTATGATTTGGGATGCTATTATTTTCTGTTATAGATGAATTATCTGAATCTTAGAGAAGTTAAATAACTTCCTTGAGGTCAAGGAGCTGATGCAAGTGCTGGGATGGACCTTTTTAGTTTGTCTAGCACCTGTATCTTAATCACTGCAGCATTGTACTTCCTTCCAAAGGAAAATTGAATTGGTGGAAGTGATAGCTGGATGCCCTGTTGGGTCAACACCTATTGGTTCCATACTCACCAAGTGGCCTTTAGACAGTTGCTTTCCAGTGGTCTTACCCTCTCAGAGGGTCTCACAGGGTCGTCTGAGTCAGTTCCTCATGGATGAGCGCCACATACTGGTCATATGGTAGTCATGCCAACAGATGGGGCCTGCCCCACTCTAGTCCCCTCTGCAGGGAGACATGGAGGTGTGGCAGTGAACTAGATGATAGCAACTCTCCCAAAAGGAGGAGACTAGCAAATTTCCCGAGGTTCTGACATTACACAAATGGCTTTCAAATCTGAAAACTGAGTGTATCTTTCATATTCAGGACCCTGTTTAATAACCACACCAAATACACTATTTTGTTCTTAGGATTTTGGCTTTAGACCTCTACTCACTCCATTCTCTCCCTGTGTGTTCCATCACCTCCCTTGACTGTACCACGTATTTTGATGATTCCCAAATCTCTCTCCAGTGCAAATCTCTTCCTCTTAGGTTTCATACCTCTGATTCTCTCCACAGTTCAAAAGTGAATTCTTTTGATTGCCCTAAATCTGATTACCCTTCAGTCTGGGCTTCTTTTTATGAATTCAGCCACCCAGCTGGTATTATCAAAGACTGAGTATTGGCACTCATCGGTTTGGCTCAGTGGATAGAGCGTCGGCCTGCGGACTGAAGGGTCCCAGGTTCAATTCTGGTCAAGGGCATATACCTTGGTTGTGGGCACATCCCCAGTAGGACATGTGCAGGAGGCAGCTGATTGATGTTTCTAACTATTCTCCCTTCCTCTCTGTGAAAAAATAAATAAAAATAAATAATATATAATTTTTTTTTAAGAGGACTGAGTATTGTCTGTGATGGCTTCCTTTTCCTCACCTTCTAAATTGGGTTCTTGGGTACAATTCTAATGGGGTTCCCCCCAACACACAATTCTCAGATACCAGCAGTGTTCAAAAATTCAACTCAATTCTGACACTATTTACCAGTAGATAATATTATACTCCACATGTTGAGGGTTCAGTCCTACAAGGCTCCCCCACCCCCACATACACACCTCAGATGCCAGCCACAAGCCCAAGCTCTTACTTATGCCACTGACAGGTCCCAGTGACAAGTCCTCCCCTCTTGGAGTTCAATTAGTTTGCTAGAATGGCTCACAGAACTCAGAAAAACCCATGTATCACGAAATCACTTTCTTATTTCAAAGGATATAATTTAGGAATAGCCAGATGAGGCAGGCACAGGGGAAGGGATGTGATGTGCGACAGGGTGTGGAGCTTCTGTACCCTCCCTAGGCTCCTCCTTCCCCCCACCTCTGTATTCACCAACCTGGAAGCTCTCTGAACACCCATCCATAGGTGCTTCTGAAAGTCACCTCAGTCACATGGCAAAAAATCACCTTTATCATTCTAATCCCCTAGGAAATTTAAGAGTTTTGGGAGCTGTGAGTCAGGAACTATGGATTAGACCAAATATCTATTTCTTATAAATCACAATATTGCTCCTCCACATGAGATAAATTCCTTTTCTTACTCAACTTTATGCAATCCATCACCTTTTAACTTTTCAAATTCCGAGGAATAGGATTCTCACTTTCCCTGAAAGAATCCTATATAATAAAAGGCTAATATGCAAATAGACCCAATGGTGGAATGATCAGTCGCTATGATATACACTGACCACCAGGGGCAGATGCTCAATGCAGGAGCTGCCCCCTAGTGGTCAGTGCACTCCCACAGGGGGAGCGCTCCCACCTCCACGGCAGTGCTAAGGATGTCCAACTGCCAACTTAAGCCAACATCTCCCAAGGGCTCTCGGACAACAAGAGGGTGCAGGCTGGGCTGAGGGACCTCCCTGAGTGCACAATTTTCATGCACTGGGCTTCTAGTAGATCATAATGCCAGTAAGTGGCAAGCCCTGCTATTCAATGTGGTCTGCTGACCAGCATGACCTGCAACTTATTAGAAATGCAGAATCTCAGGCCCCTACTGCATTTTAACCAGCTTCTTCCATGCACGTTAAGCTTAAGAAGCACTTGTGCAGTGGTTAGAAATACAGGGTATGACATCAAAGGGACTTGGTTTTGAGTCCTATCTGCCATACCATATATCTCCTCACTGGGCTCCCGTGGGCAAGTTGCTATCATCTTTAGGCTTACATTCTCTTATTTTCAGTACATTGGGGGTGATGATACCTGTCTCAGAGGTCTTAGAAGGATGAAGTGAGATCATGATTCTAAAGCTCTCAGCATGGTGCTTGGCAAACAGAAAGTAGTAAATAAAGGTTAAGGATTGATAACCCCAACATCAACCATAGCAAACACCTAGGAAGAATTTGAACTTAGGTTATTTTTGCTTTTTAACTTTTAAGATCCTTTTTCCCCTGTAAGGGAGGAAGGAAAGAAGGAAGAAAGGAGGGAAATATAAGAAAAACAGAAGAAAGTCTTATTCCTTGAATGAATAAGCATGCTAAAGTCATTCCTCAGAGTGCTGGACGATTCCTCTCTCGGTGGAAGTACCGTATTTTTTGGACCATAAGACGCACTTTTCCCCCCCCCAGAAGTGGGGGGAAAAAGTCCCTGCGTCTTATGGTCCAAATATAGCCTACACATATACTTTAAAAAAAAAGTTTTTTTACTTGCCCGGCTCTGTGTGGTCTCTGTGTGCTTGCCCGGCTCTAAAATGGTTCTAAATGCTGCTGTTTACTTTACAGGGTTGATTACATGTGTTTATGACTGTGATGTTGGGTTTTAATGCACATAAAATATTTTAGGACACTATTTGTTTCAGAATCTTTTTTTCTTCATTTCCCTTCTCTAAAAACTGGTGCATCTTATGGTCCGGTGCGTCTTATGGTCCGAAAAATACGGTAATTAGCATTGTTTCCTTGCAGCTCTGCCTAAAACCCTGGTGACTCAATCTGCCATGGATTGGCACTAAGTACAAGGGCTCATGTAGTCCAAGTGACCCTGTTAGCTACTCAATCTGACTTTCCTTTCACAGAAAAAACCCCCACAAAGGTCTTCAGTTAGTCCTATTAGTAGCAAAAGTCCCAGTGTGTCTGAGAATTGCTTCTCTGAGGGTTGAGGAAGCAGAGGCATTTTCTCACTGCCACCCTTCTTTCATTGTTTCACGGGCACCTCAAGGCCCGTCTAGGCATATTTGTCCTGAAGAATATATTTTGCCACCAAAAAAAGCCCTCAGACAAAAAGAAGGCACTGGGGTGTGAGGGAACTGTCTGAAGGTGACTTCCCAAATGGCCTGGGTGGATGGGGCCAACTTGTCAGGGATAAACAGCTTCAAGATTCACATTTAAAAGATAAATTCATGTACAATTACAGCTTTGAATAATTGTGGTACTACATCTTTTTATTCGACTATATAAATATTCATCCTCTATAATAAAGAGCTAATATGCTAATTAGACCGGACGGCAGAATGACCTTCCAGAATGACCTTCCGGAACAACCAGTGGGTGG